CCCCTTCCTAGCCGCTACATGGGGCTAGGAAGCAAGATCTGTAAAACAGCACTTTTTGCTTTTTTTGGTTATATTTGTTATTAGTTCATTGTTTTAAATACCTTAAATGCTAAATTTGATATATTTTCAATATTGTTGGGTTTTTTAATGTGAAATATATTTTATTATCTTTATATTAATAACATAGAATTATATATTTTTCCAAATATTCATTTCTAACCCCAGTTACAAAGAAAACCCCAAATATAAACAATAATTTAAGTATTAAGTAAATGCTGATGATTATTAATTAACTAGAAACCAATAATATTATAGTTCTATGTGAATTTAAGCCATGATATACTGGCAGTGAGAAATTATTCTCTCTCTTTGGTAGAGAATTACCATTTTGTTTAAAAGAATGTTTTTGGGTCATGCTGCTCTGTTCAGCTTGCACTGGTGGAGTGTGTACATGTTTTCCTTTTGTTTCGGTCTTTCTCCTTTCTGTCTAAATTTTATTTCATGTGGAAATGTAATCATTTTATTTCCAAAATAATACTTTAAATCACTGGAAATATTTAACAACAAAATTCTCACATCTAAATGATTAACTGAATTTGTTAACAGAATAAAAATAAACCTAGAATTCTAGACGACTAATTTCATACTGTATCTACAGTAAAGCACATCCTCCCTCACATATGTGGTAATATAATGTACATCTGCTCACTAAAACATGGGAAATGACTTTAAAGCACACCATCACAGGCCACACATGCTTGGTAGTATAACGTGTGTCTGCTTCGCAAGACATGGGAAACAACTTTAAAACTTAAAATTGCCTTTGAACTATTGAAGAGCCTCAATCAAAATTTGGAATACCTTTTCTAACAATTCTTAAAGCACTTCCCTCGGTTCATGATCAAATATCTTTCCATGCTTCCCTTCTATCCCTAAATTGGAATTATATTTCCTGCTCTGCCTAGTTTATGGAAGTGTTGTGAAAGTCAGATATGACTTTAAAATGATTGGAAAAGAAATGCACTCCTGGTGATTATAAGCATGTTTTTCATTTGTGGCTTGGTCAGTTCCAGTTTTATGCACTAAGTGGATGATTGCAATAACAATGGCTAACATTTGCTGAGCACTCGCGCTGTTCCAGGCACTCTCTACGTACTCTATACATATGAACCCAGTTGATTCTTACCCAGACTCAATAAACTAGGTACTATCATTATGTTCATTTTACAAATAGAAAATGACACACAGAGAAGCTAAGCATTCTGCCCAAGATTACACAGCTGTGAGTGCCAGGGCCAGGGTTTGAACCAGTCTGGCTCCAGTGTTACCCAAATGCTCTATGGATGACAGACTTAGATCTGTAGGCTGCTGCCAGATGGTGGAACTTTTTCTACTAGGTTCTGAGGGCAGCCTGTATAAATCTTATACTGTGGTGAGGTATTGAGTTCACCACCCTCACATTTATCACCTTAATTTTTTTTTTTTTTTTTTTTTTTTTTTTTTTTTTTTTTTTTTTTGTCTTTTTGAAGCAGAGTCTCCCTGTAGCCCCAGCTGTCCTGGAACTTACTATGTAGACCAGGCTGGCCTTGAATTCACAGAGATCCACCTGCCTCTGCCTCCCAAGTGCTGGGACTACAGGCATGCGCCACCATGCCCAGCTTATCACCCTAATTTTTAAAAAAGTCCAGTGTCAACCAGTTTCAGACCAATCAGACATGCATTTGTGGTATTGTACAGGTGGGGGTGGTATGGAATTTATTTGTTAGTGGTTGTTTTTTGGACATGGTCATAGGCTTCATGGCATGTGAATTCCCAGAGAGAGAGATTCTCTGTGTGTCTGTAGCCTTCCTGTGAGTTGAGGTTTCCTCTGCAGCTGGTAACAACTCTTATGTTTGCATGCTTCTGTCTTTTCATTAGTGATTATCGCATTCATAGAGTCTTCAGTTAATCTCATCTGCTAAATAGTATAAGTTTGTAAAGCAAGTAACAGACGCTTGACCATGTGTGAAACTCCTTAGTCCTGTGTATTACCTGATATGAGCAAAATTGTGGTAGAAAGACCAAGATTATCTTGTTTTTATTTTGAAAGGCCTACAGTGTGCAGCCTTTCTTCAGGACAGCAGCCCCAAACAAGGTGAACTAATTTTGCACTACATTATTTTACTTTAATTCTGCTTTTTTTTGTGATAGATTTCTCTTACTTTAGGTTAGCCTAGCTAACTCTCTCTAGACCTGTTTGTGAAACCATATTTACCTTTATACTCCTTCTGGTTTTGAAATTTATGTTAGTGGGTTTCCTTTCTCAAAGCTTTCTTGTTCTGAAGTGGCATTTCCTATTTGCCGTTAACCAGGCTGCGTCCAGAGCAGCTGATGACATCTGGTGGGATCCAGTGAAAATGGAAACTTAGCATATTGGCGTATGTGACTATGTGAGTCAGAATCATTGTGCAAATGATTTCTAATATTGAAAAATAAACTGACAACCTGGCTCATAGTCAACATGACTCATTTATACCTCAGAAAAAGAGAAAAAGACAATGACTTTTTGAACTTCATGTTTTATGTATTATGAACAACTATTACCATGATTAAAAGAGTAAATAGTACAGTCTTCCCCAACCTATACATTCTTTTGTGACAGATGATATGCCATTTTAAGAACATGTATCCAAACTGGGCATGGTGGTGCATGCCTGTAATCCCAGCACTCAGGAGATAGAGGCAGGCAGATCTCTGTGACTTCAAGGGTAGCCTGCTCTACCTAGTGTGTTCTAGACCACCCAGGGCTACACATTGAGACCCTATCTCAAAAAAAACAACAAACAAAACCATATATATCCAAAACTTTCTGCAGTTTGCATCATTTACATTGTGGTTTTATTCCTATACTTGCTAGTTAAAGAAATTCAGAGTTAAGTACTTCATCTGAGTACCCCATCAGAGGTAGATACGTTTTCATGTCCATTTCATAGGGAGAGGGGGAGAGGGATGGAAAGAGGAAGGTGGTAAATGGAGAGGCTGGTGTTTGGTCTTCCTTCCCTTCTTTAACCATCCTAGTAACCACCATGTGAACTGTCACATGGAGATGAGTTGATATGGAAAAGCTGAATGGTAGAGGATGCCAGTTTCTGTTGTTAATAATTTGTCATATACACAAGCCATTAATGCCCTGTAAGGTAGTCCTAAACATTTGTAAGGAGAATAACCTTAAGTACTTTGTTTAAAACTTAGAACAAGCTCTTTAATTAAAAACAGAACAAAGTTCTGAAATGTAATTTGTTAGAAAATTTTGGATATGAAAATTGAAATACCTGATTCACAATGTATACGCATATGAGCTATGTGAAATGGAGATGCTGTCTGTCATCTTCATTCAGCTGAGCACCACATACACGTCTTGGTGCTGCCAATGGATCAAACATGATAGTGTAGATTTTCTTTATTTTTACGGTTTTATGTAAAATTAATGTTGTGGTTGTGGCTCTAGTGAAATCACGCCATCAAAATGAGTTTGCAGGTATTTATACAGCTTCAGCAAAGAACAAAACATTGTCCTTTTTCTCTGTTGTTCTAGTCAATAAAGACTATCAGTTTCTTAATGAAAAGTAAACCAGAACGTTCACATTTCTGCAGATTTTGCTGCTCTGTCCTAGCCCTGGCTCCGGATGTGGGTTGGAAGACTTCTGTTTGGACTCTCTATGCTTTTAACTGAGTGGCGGTCAAGGTAGTCACTGCATATTGAGTACTAAATAGAGCCCCGTTTTTTTTTTTAGACTGTTAACATTTCAGAAAATGAGGAGGAAAGCTACTCAACCTTGGAAAGAGTGGATAATATATAAAAAGAGAGCAATGAACTGGGCATGGTGGCGCACGCCTTTAATCCCGGCCTGGAGGAAACAGAGGCAGGTGGAACTCTGAGTTAAGGCCATCGTGATCTGCGTAGCAAGTTTCAGTCTCCATAGTGAGACCTTGTCTCAAAATAACAACAAACAAACCAAAAACATCACACACACACACACACACACACACACATACACACACACACACACGGGCAGTGATGGCAGAGCCCAAGTGTAGGGTGTCAGGATCTCCACTGGACATGGCCTTGATTTTGTTAACTGTGGATTTTCCCTTGGTTTGTTTGGTTTCCACACTTACAAAAGAAAGTCAGGAGTTGACCCCTCACTCTTAAGTTTATTTTAGGAGAAGCTAAAAGTAATATTTATAAAGAATGAATCCTAAAACTAAGAGAATAACTAACCCTTTCCTGTTTATACATAAATGGTCCTGGCTATACAAAGATGTCACAATTAAGAACATGCCGAGGGCCTGTGTGCCTGCAGTCCTGTTCTTTTATTTCTAGGAGCAGCCACCTCAGCAAGTGAGCCTGCTTCCTTTTCGTTTCTCCTTTGAACAGTGTGACAAAAGTCTTTAGTTTCATTTCAGTTTATTTTCCCAAATTCAACAGATCCTGAAAATTTGGCAGCCTATCAGAGCATGGACTGCTGATTAATGGTATTTTCAGTAGCATCAGTACAGTGGATGAGCGCCAAGAATAGAGCATCACCATTCACTGCTGCTCTCTGTGTTCCCACAGTGTATCAGGTTCTAATTAAGTAATTTAAATGCAGAACAGAACACAGGTTTGTCTATTTGAAATGCTGAGCTACAGGTTGGTTTGGGGTACTCAGCTTACTATTCCCTAGATTCTGTTTTTAAATGAAAGATAATAGACCTGGGGTTGGCTTTGGATGTATTTCATTTTGCAGTTGTTTGCTGTCAGATCACTTTAAGATATTTCTGAGTATTGCTACTACTTAGGAGAGAATTCAAGTCTTAAAGAAGTAAATTTCTAGGTATTTTCCCTTTTGTTTTAACATATTAAATGTCTAAAATTGTTTATAATGCTTAACTTGTGATGGACTTTAGTTTCAATTTTGTTCTTAGTCGTTGACGATACTGACAAACTGTCATACGAAATTATTTTGTATTTTTTGTAGGACTGGGAAACAGAAAATCATGACTGGTATTGTTTTGAATGCCATTTGCCTGGAGAGGTGTTGATATGTGACCTGTGTTTTCGTGTGTATCATTCCAAGTGTTTGTCTGATGAGTTCAGGCTTAGAGACAGCAGTAGTCACTGGCAGTGCCCAGTTTGCAGGGTGAGTACCTATGAGCTTTCATGTGCTGGTCAGAGGGTTGGAATGAACAAGTGAGAGCCTGACAAAGATATTCCAGGTGGTCTCGCAGGTGAACAATGAAGTTCTGCGGTTCTACAAAGAGGGTGGGGGCTATTTGTGGAGATGATGGTCAATGCACACAGTGTTGGGGACTGGTCACCACAGAGTACAGCCCACAGTTCTGGGTGTGCATCTTGGAAAATTCTAATCACATAGAAATACACTCTCTTCACATACTTTATACCTGTTTTTAGATTATGTGATTGCTTTAAAGGATAGCCTTTTAAAATATGAAATATTGTGCTATAACATGATCTGTTCAAAAATTAATTAATAATAAATGACAGTTTATGCTACTGAGAACACACAGTAAAAACTACAGTGTTGGGAGCATTCTTTATCAGCATACATTTTATATCCTAGGGTGCCTTTGCATTGGTCATCAGGGTTAGTTTATCTTTCCTTATATTTTATTTGGAGGGTGGAGGAATGGAACAGTTGTGTATAAAGAGTTCTAATTACTTCAAGCAGAATCAATGTGTAATTGGTAAAATAGACAGTGTGCACAATAATTCTCATTCATGCTCTCCACTGAACAGTCTACATGTGAGAATGTAATATGAGAATGTGTGTGAGAATGTGTGTGTGAGGATGTAGTGTGAATGTGTGTGTGAGAATGTGTGTGAGAATGTAGTATGTGAATGTAATGTGAGAATGTAGTGTGAGAATGTGTGAGAATGTGGTGTGTGAGAATGTGTGTGAGAATGTAATGTGTGAATGTAGTGTGAGAATGTGTGAGAATGTGTGTGTGAGGATGTGTGAGAATGTGTGTGTGAGGATGTAGTATGAATGTGTGTGAGAATATGTGTGTGAATGTAGTGTGAGAATGTGTATGAGAATGTGTGTGAGATGTAGTGTGAGAACGTAGTGAGAATGTGTGAGAATGTGGTGTGTGAGAATGTGAGAAAGTGGTGTGAGAATGTGTGTGTGAGAATGCGTGAGAACGAGAATGTGTGTGAGAATGTGGTGTGAGAATGTGTGAAAATGTAGTGTGTCTGTGTGTGAACCATGTGTGCTGAGTGAACACTGGTTTCAGTGACATTGATGGCAAGCACAGTTATTTAATTGCAAGCACTATTGTTTTGTATTTGTTATTCAAGTATGTAGTTGGAACCATGCAAATTGCCCAATTTACCCATGAGTTCAGCTTTTATGTCTTAAGTAATGCTACTAATTTGACTTTAATATTTCAACATTTTTACTTCACAATTTTCCCCTCTGACTGACATCAGTGAAAAACTTCTGAGCATGACCAGCAGAATGCCAAGACCCATCCTAGTCTTCCCTTAGTAACGGAGGCCTTACCTAAGCCCACTTAACCCAGTCTTCCTTAGTAACGGAGGTCCTGGATTACCTGAGGCCCTTCACTCAGTCCTTCCTTATAACATGCTTATTACTAAGCTCATCTTACTTTACAGAGTAGAAAACAGATAGTTGAACTCGCCTTAAAAGCCATTGTTAAATGGTGACTTATTCATTAGATACAGCAAGATGGTGATAAATCTGACAATATCAGTGTCAGGTCTCAGGTAGATCTCTTGACATCCTTGCAAGTAGGCGTTGTCTACAAGAACTGTCCACAGGGAGTGGTCATAGTCATTACCCTGGCAGCTGGCTGTGTCACTCATAGTTTGTTTTCGTGGATTTGGATTATGCATTTTAAAAACAAATAGGTATCTCCTGTATTCTGGGGGGATATTACACCGGGGAAATAAAACTTAATGATATCTTATGAGCTAGGCCTAGCTAAATCTGTGATTCTAGGTAACTCTGGAGTTGAGGCAGGAGGATCTGTAGCACAAGGCCTGACTGGGCTGTGAAATAAGTCCTAGCTAGCATGGGAGGATGCAGGGGAGGAAGCCTTCAAAGATGGATGGATGGATGGATGGGTGGGTGGATGGATGATAGATAGATAGATAGATAGATAGATAGATAGATAATAGACAGACAGACAGATGATAGAATAAAAACAAAGAACTAAAAGAAGGCTTTGTATATAGCTCACTGGTAGAATTTTTGAGTAGCTTGCCTAACTTGTGAGATCCTAGATTTAGTTCTTTGTACTACTCATCTCTCCCCACCAAAAAACCCAAAACAAAACAAAACACAACCAGGAGAAAAAGAAAAGAGCATAAAGGCAGTAAAAACACAAGAGAGGAATGAACTGTAGTGTTATCAGTTAAACTGAATTAGGTATAATATTACAAATGAAGGAATTCAGAAACAGTTCTAGATAAACCCATGTCTTCATGTTTTTCTGTACTTAATATTCAGTTCTTATTTTCATAGCAAGGAGTTTAAGGAAAAACACTAAGATTTTTGAGGAGGAGTTGAACAGGATAGGCGTTTTACATTTCTTATATTAAGAATAGAAATTGGACTGGGAGTGGTAACACGCACTTTTAATCTCAGCACTTGGAAGGTAGAGGCAGGTAGAGCTCTGTGAGTTTGAGGCCAGCCTAGTCTACATAGAGAGTTCTGGGCCAGCCAAGGTAGCATAGTGAGACCCTGTCTCAAAAAACAAACAAACAAAAAAGAAAAAAAATTGAGTAAGTACACCTTTGGAGAAAACGATATTCCATCCATCAGTACTCGGAAGCAAGCTTGCTCCTATCTCCTACACAGTCTGCTCTGTTCTTTTCTGGTTGGTTTCTTTTAAATTTCCGTGTTAGCTGACTGAATAGGATACTACTCGTCCTTCTCCTTGTTTTCCTTTAGTCAGTTTAGATATTTATGATTGTGCTTACTCATGATAGCTACAAGTTGCGTGCAATCTTAGCTGGTGCATTCATTGTAGCCTGTTGGTTATGTAGCCTGTGACCTGTGTTTGAGGCTCAGTGTGAAGAGTTTTCCTGGGGCTCTCAAACCTCCACTAAAAGCCATCTTTAATCAGCTAACAAATGACTGTTCAGATGAAAGATTCTTAGACTAAGAGAATGTGAGTGCAGAAACTAAACCCAAGAACTGTGGCTCCAATCAGAATTGATTTTCCAGTCTGTTTTTCCTCTCTAACTAATGCTTGGAAAAGATACAGAGTGGTTTAGATATATGACGGAGGGATTTTGCAGGGAAGCTGCCAGAACCATGTTTTTCAGGCAAAAATAGCAGAGGAAGCCAGTCATTGCTACCCAAAATGTAGATAAACATTTTTATAATACTGGATAGAGGGCAAAGGACTGTCCTTGTACAACCTCAGGTGCTGTGGGGCATCAAAAAGTCACTAAGAATAGTTTCCATCCCCCAGCTGTCCGTTGTTCTGCCAGACCAGTTGGATTAGATCCCGTATATCATTTCACATCTCAGTCAAAATAATTTTTACCAAGGATCATAATTAACTTTACAAAATCTGAAGATTCTGAGGATGTTCCTTTAGAATATCTTATCTAATTAAAAAAATAGTGCTAGGGTCTAGTTTCACAGTCTTGTTAGTATGAACTCATGAATTTAAAAAAGAAGATTTAAAAATTATTTAAAAAATTTTGCTCTATTCGAGTAACATAGGAGAGGATAAGAAAAACAAAATTTCCTGAATTTCTTTTCCATAGTAGGTGAACATTCTCAAGACTCTTCCCTGTGTTTGGATGTGTATGTGTTTGGTGTGTGACTTATATGTTCTACTGAAAAGAGCCAGCCTGTTTCACTTGCCAGTTCTCCATCAATGTGCATTCATGTGCTGTCCATCATTCTGAGCTGACAGCTTGTCCACGGTGACTTCACATCACGGTGTTAAAATCATACCCCACCTCAGCTTCTGAAGGCCTTGTTGACTATGCATTTCTTCATGGCTGGTTCACATTTTACTTTCCTGAAATGGCTATGAGTTTGCCAAGCAGAACTGAGAAAACCATATCCTGTTTTGAAAACATCTTGTAAAATTTTATTTTCATAAAAGAAATAACCTAAAAATACATCATAGTTCATTGTACTTTTTAAAAGGAACTTGTGTGTGAGAGTGTATGTTTCTGTCTGATCACTTTTGATTTCACTAACTTGCAGTTTTTAAATCTAAAGACAGGGATATGTACATTTTTTGATAAACCACCAGCTTATCTTTCAAGAGTGTACCCACATACACCACAGCACATGAGAACAGTTTGCAACTTCTTGTTGGGCATTTGATTTTTTATTGGATGTCTCATTTTAATTTCATGTCATTTTCATATATAGTTTCCAAATTACAAAGTCATCTTACCTTTGATGCCATAGGCCTCTGTGTGCAGTCATGCATGGGCGCGCGTGTGTGTGTGCGTGCGTGCGTGCGTGCATGTGTGTGTGTGTGTGCGCGCGCGCGCGCGCACGCACTGCATTCTTGCTAGCCTACAAGCCTGTTGGAAAAAAAATCATAAGACTGAGTGCTAACTATGAACATTATTCTTAATACTAAGAGAATTGGGAGTGTAAAGACTAAAACAAGAGCCATGGTTCCAGCAGAGTCAGCTTTCCAATCGACTTTTTCCTCCTAATGTTTGAGAATATAGGAGAGTTAGATGTACCAATAACCATTTGAACACTGTTTTTTGTAATTTTTTAATGTTTTATGTGTATTAATATATTGCCTGCATATATGTAAGTGCACCCATGTCATGCGGTGCCTGCAGAGGTGGGAAGAGAGCATCGGATCCCCTGGAGTTATGGACAGTTGTTAGCTGCATGTGGATGCTAGGAATCAAACCTGGGTCCTCTGCAAGAGCAGTTGGTACTCTTCTGAGCCATGTCTCCAGCCCCCTGTCCTTTGTCTTTTTGAGACAGGGTCTCCCTACAGCCCCAGATGGCCTGGAACTCACTATGTAGACCAGGCTGGCCTTGAATTCACAGAGATCTGCCTGCCTCTGCCTCCCAAGTGCTGGGATGAAAGGTGTGTGCCACCAGGCCCCATGGACTTGAGCGCTGTTTTTAATATGTAGGTGGTCTGTCATAAGAAA